CTTTACGGGAAATGAACACGAACAATTTAGTTATACCATTTGTCTTTATAATGCCTCATTAAGTTTTACACTTTATGTGTCTGTTGGTGGGACAGGTACCTGATGTTTTCTTGCTGTTTGTTAGACATGTAACTTCCTAGAGCAGACAGTCATACTCTCAGCATGATGGTGTTCCGTGAAAGCACGGGGAAAATCAGAGGCCGCTTTCTTTTGTTATCCGTCTCTGTAGATGTTCAGAGAATGAACAGGTACAGACTCTAAGCTCAATGAGAATATGTTTGAGAAACTGGGAGTATAAATTATGGAGATTTTTTTTTTTTTCTCGGTAGTAAAGAAGTAAAGCTCCAAAATACAGATTAAAGCTTTGCAGGACAAACATTATTATCTAATCACTTTTATTCATCTTTTCATGAGTTAAGTAAAATTAATTTAATACAGAATATAAAGGCATTTTTTTGGTTTTAAGGAAACAGGTTAGATTTTTTATCTGAAATAATATTAATCACTCACTACTCCTTGAAGGAAACTTTTATACTCTAATTCTTCCTTTGAGTGGAACACGAACTTTATAGTCTACTTTCATTTATAAAAGTTCTTTCTATTTCTGTTTGTAGAATTTCATTTTCATGAAGAAGTAGAACTGGATGTAGATAAGCACTGCCTTTTTTCAGTATTTTTTCTTCTGTGAAAATAAATTGTTCACAGAATTAATTTCATTAAAATATTTCTAATTGAATCTCAATTCACAATGTTTTCTCCCATCATTCTTTCTTTTTCTCCATGGGGGAAGAGTGGGCAAGGATGAGGCAAGAGGGGGCCATTTTCTTGAAACTGTGATGTGTTGTTAAGCTCCATTTGCTGGTCTTGGTCTTATCACTTCAGAAAGATGCTTAATTTCCATTTGACACTGTAAAGAAAAGTAAACCTATGGGCATCTTGTAAGAACTGGTAATGTCACCATTTCATGTTTAAGATGGAGACAAGCAATTCATGTTTTCTCATGGAAATTAAAATCAACGGGACCACTATTCTGTTCAATCTTGCTTCAAAGTTTGGTTGAACAGCCAGAGAGGTGGGATGGATCTTTTCTTTCAAGTGCTTATTGATCATTGCAATGAGAAATCCAGCCCAACATATAGCTCCACATGTGACAATAAAAAGGGGAAAATCACTCAGCTGCACATTTTGACAGTGACCTCAGCAGACCAGTATGTTCCTGTGTGTTAAAGAGAGTGCCAAAAACTAGTCCCAGATGCCTGCCCAATGCCCTGCCACAACAATGGGTCATATTAGTTCTACAAAGTGAGGAACCATTATTTGATGTAGCTCAGGTTTTGTTCACATTGGAACATCCTCCATCTCCGTGTGCTTCCAAGTGTTTTCATTCTGTAGCTTGGTCATTAGGTTAGATGGCATAACTGTTATAAATTGCCACTAGGATGCTATTATAATTAAAAGATTTTATTTAATATTTTTTTTCTCACTTAGTGGAAGCAGAATAGAACATTAGTTCTATTACTGTATACATTTTGAATTGTTTTAGTATATTGATTTACAACAACTATTCAATATATTCAATATTCAATATTCAATAAATATATTCAATATACTTAGAGCAATGCTTTAGATGTGAATAAAGGGTTTTCTTGTTACTACAGATGAAACAAAAAAATAAGGGGAGCAGCCTCATTACTAGAGGTAATAAGTACTCTACAACACAAATTTACTCATTGCTCTTAATTTCCTTATCAGCTTTTCAAAACATCTCCAAGCACATTTATTCAACATTTGGAAGACATAAGGTTCATCTCAGCTTCCTCTATGCTCAGAGACTGTCTGTTTGTTTGTATGGGTTATAAATTTGACCCAGTCTCACATAAGGGTTTTTAAAGTGGTTTCAAAAATATTTGCTGTACAATTTTTAAATATTTTATTTACTATAATGAGATATATTAATGTCCAATAGTAAGGCCTAAGACTTAAACAGGTGAAATTTGATGATTTTTCAGAAATTTGTTAGCTTAAGCTGGACAGAATAGTCATTCAAAAAGTTTTTATTCCCTATTTGCATGAGTATTCAAGTACATAAAACATAAATACTGCAGTTTGAAAACTTGCAGTTCTTCTTATTATTATGATACTACTCTGAAATTAACTTTATTTAACACTAATACTTTCAGAAAAACAAAAATGCTGCAAACACTTCAAAATCAATTAATTGCAAATTTAAGTGAATATCCACCAGAATTTGTTTGTGGTATTCTCCTAATACCAAGCATTTGTATTATTTTACACATGCAGCTTTCCAGTTTATTTATTTATTTGTGGCTTGGCTGTAAAAACCCTCAGTTGAGGATCCAGATGAACAGAACTCTACCTAAACTATGTAGTTCTTACTTTGGTCCACACTTTCACATGACTGAGAAACAGACTGCACTCAAATAATCATCTTTGTCTATTTTCCTTTTTAAACTTATGCCTCTGTTTCAAGGTTCAAGCCAATGCTTGAAACTGCTAGTGGGTAGATACTTCAAGAGCTGGTGTACAGTAGGCATTCAATATACACATCTGAGAGACAAAAATGAAAACTCTTGTTTTATTTCAGCAAGAGACTGGATAACAATCAGAGCAAGTATTACTAGAGGGCAAAGTGTCAGAAAAGCAATCAGCAGATAAGCAGATAAAATGGTGGTGGAACAGTACTGCATATCAGATGAGTCTGTGAGGTGATGATCAAGAAAGGTTAGGAAAAGATAGAATGGATATGAAGAATAATTCTGTCATTGGCTTCCCTAAATGGCTTGCTGTACTTGATACAAAACTGCTGAGGAAAAACAATTTGACTGTATTGTAGGAAAAATTACATTTGCCACAAAAAACCAAAACAAAACATAACAAAACACCTTCAGAACTGTATTGTGTTGTATTGCCATGTACATTTTGTCATTTGCTAAAATGATCTTCATTAGGTGAACATGACATTACTTGAACTATTTCCTAGTCTCAGAAATATGTAAAGCCTTACATGACACAGATCATTAGTACAAAGGAAAACTACTCAGTAAAAGCAGTCTTACAAATTTTAAATAAATTTTAAAATAATCTTAAATGATCAATTTTAGAAAAGGTATTTTAAAGAGCCCAAACATTGTCTTTTCAAAAACTCATACCTGTTTTTCTTTAAAAATGTGAAAATAAATAAAACACTTTGATTCTTTCCAGAAGTTCACATTTTTTGCTGACTTCAGGCTGAAATTGTTTGTAGTTTTGCCTATCCCAATACTCAGTTCTTTACATTACCTTGTCAGAACCATGTGTGAGTGAAGTCAGACTGAATGAGTATGTGCTGCCAAACCTTTGTCTGGAAACAAGTATGCTTAGGTTGATGATACATCTTATTAAAGTGTTGTTTTCTTGATAGTTCACATTCTCACTGGAGATATGAAATGCCCAGGTTCCAGATCTTGTCCCAGTAAATTTTTCCCAATTGAAGATGTCAGCAGGAAAGTTTAATGACAGCCTGGCAGTTAATGCAGTTCTCTGGGCATCAGTACTGTGGCTTCAAATTCTGTCAGAGGAGGTCATTCAGTAGAAGACTAATATCTTGGCTATATATCCTACCCTGTACTTATTGAGTGAACAGATGGAGGAAAGACGGTTTCTTCTTACCTGAAAATGTAGTTCATACCCTCCTATTTTTCTCTAACAAAAGTTATACCTCAAGTCAAACCTTATTCTAAGAAAGACTGCAGAATATAACAAAATAAAGAAATATTAACAATGTAAAATGTAAAGTAAGACCTATTTATTGTTTTAAAATTAGTATTACAGAAATATAGCTTGGTTTTAATTATTGGACATGCTCTCAGTTATTTAATAACTGTTGGTTCCATTTTAGTTGGCAGTGTTTTATGCATTTATTAAAAAAAAAAAGGGGGGGGGGGAAAAAAGTGAAGTTTCCTGCTGCGTCTTCTTCAGCCATAGCACAACAGTATTTTGGAGGAATATTTGTAGCTTGAAAAAATAGTATAGAGAAGAAGTTGCCTTGGGCTTGGCTTGTTGTCTTCATGCTTGGCATGCCTCTTGCAGCTCTCCTGCTACAAAGGACCCTGAGGAAGTTGACTAGTGCAATCTAAGAAACATGAAATATAGGTTTACCTTAAAAAAAAAAAAAAAAAGGAATAAATAAAAATTAGTATTACTATCTGCCTAGCTTTTGTTTTTGTTTTTGTTTTTGTTTTTTTTTCCTTCCTCCCCTAGAGGAAAAAAATCTATAAAGCAGTAACAATTGATTTTATGATTTTACTCTTAAAGATGTGCTTGATGTTCATTATCAATATATGCAAGAACACATCAATGTGCAGAGTCATTTAGAAACGCATCTCTTACTTTCAGTTTGCAGTTAATAAAAGTGACTTATTAGTACACAGGGCAGGATAAAGTATTCTGCAATAAATATACTTAAAATATATTCACCTTCATATTTTACAAACATTAAGGAATAATCTGTGGGATGTAGCTGGAACAGAAAAGAAAGGCATTTTGAATCAGTAAAAATAGTCATGGTAACTTTGTATCTGTTGCTTCCTCTTTACTATGGTGTATGAGATATAAGTGTTTTTTCCAGCACACAGTGCTTCTGTCATAATGACATAGAAATTAGTTTTAGCTCTTCATTACCTTTGAACATCTTCATAGACTAATTTAAGATCATGTATTTCTGTTTTCCATACAAAACTAGCTACACTGAACGATTATATAGCTTTTAATTGTAAATTTGTTAGGTAAATATTCATTCTCCTACTGTACATCTCAGAGTGTAAGTTTTAATAGATGAAATAGTCTATTTGGGGGTTGCACTATATGACCTCCAGAGGTCCTTTCCAACTTTAGCCATACTGTAATTCTGTTAAATGAAACAACAGGTACATTGAACTGCCTGTAGGTAAGACTATGTTTGTGTTTTCAGTACTTCTCCTGTTTTGAATTTTCTACTACAGGAAGCATCTGGAGTTTCCATACTGAAGAGACTATTTTTCTGGCATGTGCCAAGACACTGAAAGTAATGCTGCCTTGGGGAAAGGATCACAGATGCTCCTTGATTTCTCACTGAGGTAAATTTGTCACCAGTCTCCAGATCTACTATCATTCTTTGCTGTCAGATTCTTTTGAGAGAGAACTGGAGAGGTCTGTGTTGTTCTGGTCCACATCCCCTTAACACGTTAAGCCAAGGAAAATGGGATTTTGAAATGGAAAGACTAAGCCTGCCATTGGCCTTTGTTTTTTCTTATTGTTATAAGTGAATCACAGAATCACAGAATTGTCTAGGTTGGAAGAGACCTCCAACATCACCGAGTCGAACCTCTGACCTAATACTAACAAGTCCTCCACTAAACCATATCACTAAGCTCTACATCTAAATGCCTTTTAACTGGCATCATTATATTCAAAGGGATCGTCCAATGCTAATGAAAGGTTTATTTTCCCCTTTTATATGCTTAGTGTTTTCTACTGGGTCTTTTGCAGTTATTAGCCATATAAACAACCTGTACAATTTCTAGTGCTGAGACAAGGGAAGCAGTGGAGGCTTAGACAGAAGAGCCAGACAAAGCTTTTTTGAGGCAGGGTACAACTCAATCTGAATTTAGTGATATTTATAAAAGGCAAGTAAACAGTGCTGGGTGCGCAGGGAGCCTACACACTACCAACACGCATGTACAACCGTCGAACTTTCAAAATATATAGAACATTGTTTTTATATATTCATAACAAACCCGAATACGCCTATACATATGTACAATCAGAAAAGTTATCGATTGAAACATAAACATGGCAAAGTTCTGAATTCTGGCAAGTGTTTAATAAACAATCCTTTAAGTCTATTACTATTAATGTCCATGACTGGGGGAGCATAGTTGGAGGTGGTAATCCTTGATGAAGTGCTCCAGTATCTTCTATGACTTCATTAATTTTTCTCAGATTATATAACATCTCCATTTTCCATTCCTTTTCTTGCTATAAACACTGGAGAATTCCAGGGCTAGTCGTGGGAACAATATGTCTCGCTTTAAGTTGTTAAGCAACTCGGCCTTCAGGCCCTATGTATCCTATTCCTCCCGGATCGAAGGGAAACATATCCGTCTCCTTTTCAAGGCCAGTAGGGCCTGGGTTGAAAGGCACGTCTAGGTCACCAGGGGGCGTAACAGCAAAGGCCTGCGATGGCAGTAGCGGCGGGGTGGCTGATGGTGTAGCAGAAGTGGACGAGTGTGGACGAGCCCACAGCTCCCTCACTGTCTGGCAAACCACATGTTTCTGACTGTGATCCCACAGGGCTCTTTAAGGCCTCAGAGACTGCTCACCAGGTGCCGAGCAATCCCACTGCCACCTTGTCATTTTTAGTAGCAGAGTCCCACACCTTGACCTCAATTTGGACTCATATTTCAGGATCATAAACTGTCTGATTGTTAATAAGGAGAATAAGCTGTAAGATTACCAGGACAATCTTTGTTCCTAAGGACATATGATTCCCCATGATGTGCAACTGCTTACTAGCGAGGGGCAGTTGTGTGCACGGGTCCGCTTCTCTCAGTTTGAGCTTCTCTCCAGCTCCAGTGTGCCTATTTCCAGGGACTTTCTGTACGAGCTTCTTTGAGCATTTTGCTGAGTTTGGCCGAACCTATCTTCATGAGGCTATCAATGTCCCTGTTCCTGTCTTCTTGGTCTCTGTTCTGCTAGCCTGTCCCTATTCATTCTTTTTTTTTTTTTTTTTTTTCCTACTTTATTGATGGTATAACATTATTATATCATGTTGCTTTTTTTTTTTTTTTTTTTTTTTTTTTTTTTTTTTTTTTTTCTTGAGGACAGGCACCCCTCATACCCTTCGCCCCACAGCAGTCCTTTTCAAATAACTTTTCATTGGTCATACAACTTTGCCCGGCAACCAGGAAACACCCAGCAACTTCCATGCCTTAACAGCTGAAGAACAAGTGACCCGAAATGGCATGGTGTCTCCTGAATCACCCTTTGTTCCCTCTAAACTCTTTTACATTCAAGATGGCCTCATTCTTAAGAATCTGATGTTATCACCAGCCATGGGGCTTGTTGACCCCAATGGCCACACTCCCACATCTCCCCCTTCTTTATTAACACCAACCATCTTCTTGACAGGAATTATTACTCCATATATCACATTATGATACAAAATACTAGTTAGCAGGTCAACATTGCTTTCAGCAGGATGTGTACATACTCAGAAGTAAACTCTCTGCTTCTGTTGTCTGGGAAAAGATTTCTCTTATATTGCAAATGACTGATAATTGAATAGCTTCAAATATGTGCTATTATGTTATGTCCACAGGAACATTTAAATAAGATTCTGTTCTATTGTTTCTGATTTTCATTGCAGAGAGATGGTGCTTTCAGTGGAAAGTAAATGAGGCTGACAGCACTTATAGTGTTCAGAAAAAAATATGCAAGCTGTTCAAGGATGTGTAAAAATGCAGATTGACATAAATTGAGTCACTATGATAGAAACCATTCATGCAAAGCAAGTAATGCCATGACAAAAAGTAGAGTGAATATGGGGGAATTACTATTTTATTGATAGTGAGTCACATCATTCTTTTAGTTGTTTGAATGCTAGTGTAAATTCTATTAACATGGAAATCTTGGATATAATTTTAAAACAAAAATAATTTCTGTAGAGCAAATCAAATATTAAAACCAAGCTGTGTCACTTAGATTGAATTATTTGAAGTATGACATGGATAAATTATCCTGATCAGTAGAGGAACAGAAATTGATCTGAAGGGTGCCAGGATGTCTGATATGTCATTCTATCTATCAAGTAAAAAGGAAAGAGCCATGAATTGAGGATAAGGGCAGAAGCTCAAATCACAAAATTTATAGCTGATAAGACCTGAGGTATTTCTCAGAGCTTTCACCTTTTGCTGTATAACCATCTGTAGTTAGCTAAATGACTGTGTTACTCTGCAATAAATTTCATCACCAGTTTTATTGCCAAGTGACTTCTATTGTATCCTTTGTGGTGCTGTGCTCACTTTCAGCATCTCAGCAGACCATCTCACTTCCTACCTGTCCCAATTAAGACTAATCCACAAACATCTCTGTTACCACCAAAATGCTGGAAGGAGCAAAAAGGCTTTCTAAGATAAGGATCATGGCATTTATTTGGAAAGATTATTGCTATCTTTAATATAGTATTTTTGAATGTTTCTATGGAGGACATGCAGGTTGCCCTAGGCTTCTTTGGCTGAATGAGGACTGGCAACAATGTTGTGGTTGTAATTAAAGATTTATTATTGCAATTGGTGTAACTTATTATCTATAATATCTCTGCAGATTGGATCAAAGTCTTTTCACTTTACAGTCATAACACAGACTCAGATTTTATGTAAAAGATCTTGAATCACTCAGCCTTTGGAGGAGACTGATGATTATGTAGGCATCCCTGGCCATCAGGCAACATGGGTTTTGATGTCCAGTAGCAGCAGGTCTAGTCCAAGTCCCACACAGGACTTGATGCTGCTTGGTTTCATGGACAGAACTCCCTGTACTGTTATGTTTCCTGGTTCCATGAAGTTGTCACTGCATCCTGGCAACCCAGCACCTTGGCTCAGTGGGAGATGCATCTCAGATGGAGATGCAACAGGAAGCATGAAGTTATGTCCTCAATATGGAAGATGAAGTTAGGCCCTCAGTAAGAGAGATGAAGTTATGTCACCAATAAAGAAACATCAGTTACTGATCCTAAAAGAACCCTGGTGTCCATGTGGTCATTATGGCACAATTGGGTGTCTCCCTTCCTCTTTGTGACCTAACACTTAGGTCAACTTGTTCATGAGTGTCTCCACACCTTGGCACCAGAGAGAGAAGGCTGGGAGCACCAATCCTTTTCCTCTTCACAGTCCTTTAATTTAGACTGTTGTGAATAATCTGTGTATTATCAGCATGTTTTGTTATCAGCGGTTCTTTCTTTTCCAACCACTTCTATTTAGGCTGCTATCATTGACTGCTGACATTTTAGTGGCATCCATATTTAATTATATTCTGCTACAAAACCTGATTACTTTATTCCTACACTTTCTTACATTTCAGGTTCTCTTTCAAATAAACTCTCTTATCACATCAGTTTAATGTCCTGAAATTTGCTACTCAGCTACTTACCTTCTGTGATGAAATAACTAATAGTTTCTCACTGGCGGGTGTCTTTGTGTTTCCTAATTATGGCTTATGCTATAAACTCCTGTTAAGTATCTTTGTTATTACACATATTTTTATTATACAACTTAGATTTTTATGGTTGAATTCAAACTATAATTAGTAAGAATGACTGCAAGTTTCCAAGGACTTGGTGTATTGTCAACACATGAAAAATCTGTAATCACACTTGACAGTTATGAGGAATCAGTGGTCTTTCACCACTGAACTGCATCGTATCTAATGTAATCCAATTATTTAATAAACATTTTGCATGGATAAGAAGGACTACAGGGCTTCACTCATATCATCTGGTTTGGAGTTTTTAGTTTTCCTGGATCTCAATTTGTGTATAAACTCAAATGTCCTTCAAACAAGTTAAATGATGTCCTTTATCAGACTTCACAAATATTTTTGAAAAATGAGGAGGAATGAGAAGGGGAATTGAGAGGATTATTGTTCATAGCTTAAAGATGAGAAAACATAAGTACAGTGATTACACAGTCTGACATCAGTAACTGGATCCATGGCAAATCTAATACTGGAATAGAGAATCCTAGCTCTTTCAGCTCAGTTTTAGATATTACACAGCTATTGCTTAGGTCAGTTAGCCCAAAACTCTGAGATGTCAGGTTTGCATATCACAGCAAATTTGAAAATTATAATGAGACCAGAAATCTTTCTATCACTGATAAAATATTAATGCTGAAAACTGAGGTTCTCAAGAAATCATAAAAATATAAGCTTTCCCCAGGAAAACCATCTCAGCCGCATTCTACATCCCATCTCTCTTACTGGTTGCATTAATAAACACATCATTTAGCGCACTAAACTTTATATTTAATGAACAGTGATGGAAATATTTTTGTACATAATTTATAAAGTAGTGTTGCAGGACAAACATTAGATGAGAAAATTTCCTGAATTTCTTGAGTGCCTACCATCTCTATGGTAAAATAAAACAAAGCATGTCCTGTCCTTTGCACCCCAATTAAATCCTTCTCTTTTCTGTGTTGCTGATATGATAAAAGAAATTAAACACTGAAAAAATCTCAGGCTATATCAATCAGCCTATTTTTCTTGAGGTAATGTACTGTGTGTAACAAGAAGAGCTGTCTTATTTTCCAAAGTCATATCCAGAGAACTGTCATCCAGAAGACCACAGCAAACTCCTACAAAGAATTAATAACCAGAGATAGCTCCTCATACATAACTGCTATTGGTGGAATGGACTATTTGTTATATCTTGGTCTCAGGTTTTGTCTAGTCCTATTTCTAGAATCAGTAGTTTGAAATCCATTGTGTATTCTCACAGTTGACTGAAGTAAGTTAAGCATAGTTTTATGGTATAACTTAAATTGGGCTAGCCCATATGCCCATAATGCACATAGCAAGAACCCAAACATAGTGCAGTGACATGTAAAAGATGTAACCTAAACCATCAATTATCTCCTTTTAGCTGCATCCCAGGTGGCTGCATCCCCTACATTTGAAGTCCACTAATCAATTGGAACTTCACTACAATATGTAGTATCTATTCTAGGAATTGCAGCTCCTACACCCTACAGCTACTTATGCAGTCACCAGTGTATAAAGAAGAATCTTATTTATATGTATTATTTCTAGTCATTTTATTCCTGTAAAATAAAGTGATCTGTGCTCCTACAATACCAAAGCAAATACCATTTTCATAGTTTCTAGTCTATACTTTCCTTTTTATCTCTCTGTCTTCTAATGGAGAGAATAGTGCTCACATGGACAGAATAGTGCGACAGTTTGGCATGAATAATTAATGTTGGGAGGGTTTATAGCTTTATTTGAACCCACTTTGAGAGGACATCATTGATGTTTAATACAAATAAGCTTGAAAAACGATCATCATCTTGCTGTCGTGGTTCCTTTCGGTGATTTCTGCTTCATGTCACCAAACCAACAATCTCTTACTGGGGAAATTCTGTAATATGTGTTACTGTAATATTGTGATAGCCTTGTGATTTCTGGAAGGGAATGAAGACTTGACCACAATTTCTTCTTCCTAAATATATTCTTCAGTTTTGAGGAAAGAGTGGATAAAAGCATAACTATCTTGTTAAAATTTGGTGACAGGAATTAGAAGACAAATGACTATCAGAGTATTACAAATCTCTGACTTACTCTATCTGTACATGACATTTGTCATAATTGATCATAACTGACAGCATAGAGCCTGTGATTTCAGGATAAGAACATAACTAATTTTGGGTTTGTCTGTTTTCAAACTGTTTAATTCACATTACTGAATACACTGTGTACAGTTTGGACTGCCAACAGGTTTTAAAAAAGGTCATCTTGGAAGAAAAAATGGTCTTTTGTGCTTCTTCTGCCTGTAATATTTCTTCTGAATTGTAATTTGAAATATATATATATTTAATTATAATCCTTGATCAAAGGATCATGGAGCTTGCAAAACAGATGAGATTCCTATATTAAACTGTTTAGTAGTTACTTGATGAATGTGATTTTAAATGTTCCTAATCTAAAAGTTCAGTTTGAGCTATTAAGTATGATGAGATAAATATTTATAATCATATACTGGAGAAATAAAAGATGGCTAAATCTCAATTTTTAGTAAAGAATTTACAGGAAATACTGAAAATACTGACAATATGTAGAGTTTTGACATGATTGTTAAAAGCTATTCCTGGGAAAAAAGAAAGACAGAAAGATCTTGATTTTCAGACCGTAGATCATAGAAGCTGGCTGAATTAGAAAATTATTTTGTTATAATAATATGAATCTGACAAATGCAAAGAATCACAGAATCATAGAGTTGAAAGGGACCCACAAGGATCATTTTTGTTTTCTGCAATAAATATCAGTGGGGCATAAGATTGAGCTATTATTTCATGAGAAAATTCTGACATAAATAATTTATATGAAACCTCTAAATCGGTGAAATTACAATTACGAACCTATTTTGTTTTTTTCCACTTATATACATAACTAAGCTTCACTTACAATGACTCACTTAGATTAGCAGGCATGAAACAGAATTCCTGAAGAATAATAATAAAAAATGTTAATACGTTTTCCATGAACAGTCTCAAACAAAAATTTATTCAGAGAATTACATTTACCCTTCTGACAATGAAACAAACAAATAAGCAAACTGTTTTAACATCAAAGAATTGTACAATATGCTAATATTTGATTTTTTTTTTTCTGAAAAAAAAAAGATATATATTTTTCAGGAATAAGTGTAACTGGGGGAATATGCCATTTTCAATGCACAATTCATGAAAAAGGGAGAAGTTATTGTTAATTATTTATTGCAATTAAAGATGTGTGGTGAAAGACATTATGTATGCATTATTTCTGATATTAAAGTGTCCAAATGTCTTTTAATGTAAATATGTTTACATCTTACTTCTTTTGGCTTTGCCTTTGTGTATATAACAGTTAAATTGAATTTATATTTGTTAACCAGGATAATAAAAATATGATCAGCTACTTTCTTCATTTTCAAAGTTTTACGTAACTGGCATTGTCATTTATATGTGATTTATTATGACTTCTTTTCCTTCAAAGTAATGCAAGGTTAGGAATCTGTAAATTAAGGTTAATCTGTGAATCTTCTTATGAACAGTAAATGATTCTAAACGGACATTTTGAACAAAGTCCTCTCAGATCACAAGAGAAGCAGATCCTAGTGAATTCAAAATCCTGGCTATTTATGAGAGTAGAGTGTGACATGATGAAACAGATGCATATTAGATGCATTTCAGGAAGGACAATAATCTCTGCTCAGTCCGCAATGACAAATGTCAAAGAACATCAGAACTGGCTCTGAGGAAACACTGCTCATCTGTGAACAATTCATCAACTAAACCCCAGTCAAATTGCTGAACCGTTCCCTCAAGTTATCAGTCTCTGATTGGAGAATAGTTAGGACAGTGATAAAAATGAGAACATATCTAAAAAAGCAATATGTGACACGTGAATTCTATCTTAAAATGATATGAGAAGGCAAATGTAGAACTACTTGTCATACAGTGCTGGATAACAAATTTGGTTCATGCTGGCGCTCTTGTGCTTAAGGAGGAGTCACACACAGAAACAGGATCACAGGATAGTGCCAAGCTGTGGGAAAAAAAAAAAAAAAAAAAAAAAAAAGGTTATATGAAAAAGATTTTCTACAAGATTTGAAGGACTGGGAGCACCGGATCATGCTTTTATATCAAGCTGAATAATGCCACAGCAAAAGAAGGTTCTATAGGAATTTACAAAGGCACAGAGCATGACAGAAACTGGAAGCAAAAGTACCATGAAAAACTGACAAAAGGAAACAATTTATGGAAAAAAAAAAAAAAAAAGAAAAAAAAGAAAAAAAGGAAGGTGATGAAACACAAATGACAATTGTAGAAGAATGTGCTGTGGAAAAAAAAAAAAGAACTAAAATGAAAAATCTGTTCTTTTGTACGTACGGGACTTACACTTTGTGAACTATTCCACTATACACCATTAAAAACTAATACTGCTGCTTATTGACAAAAAGTAGAATTGAACATACTATTTTCCTTTTGACTGTATCAAAAAAATAAATAAATGCTACAAGGAGAAAGGTTGCTTACATGATGCAAAAGCCAGAGAAATCATGCAGTTTGAGCTACAAAATGAAAATAATTTAGTTTCTAGAAATAATCCATCTACCTCAGTCAAAATGTACTTTTATTTTATTTATTTATTTATTTTATGTCTGTTTATAACTTGATTTCCTTTCTGAGGTCTATGATACATATTGAGGAATATTTAATAAACCAGCATCAGACTATGAAATAAAATGTGAGAATCAAATGAAAGATATCAAAATTCTAGCTATAAGCATGATTATGTATCAAAACTAGTTCTGAGGACTTCTCTTTTAACAGTCCCACCTTGCAATTAGAATTTAAAAATACAAGACATCACTCAATTTATCTCTAACCAGTCTAAAGACTGCATATTAGGTTTTGAAATAATTTAGCTCCCAAATATCATTCATAACCAGGCAAAATTAAATATAAACATTTGGACACATTGCCAGTTATTAAATAGCAGTTACATGTCACTAGAGCATGGTAGTTTGGTTGCAGCAGAACCTTGAAGTTTAAGCCTGATACTAAAAGAAACAGTTTTGTTACTCTATTTTCTTGCATTACTCTCACATTGTTCCATGTCTTGTTCTGCTGCTTGCAAATATATATATATATTTACCAATTTCCATAAACAAATAAGGTTTCTAAAGACACTTCAAAGATAAATAATAGTTTGATTTGTAATTTGAAGATCTTTGCTTCAGTGCCTCTATTGCATCAATCACCACTGAAGCAATTATTTAATTTACAGTTATACTTGGGATTACATCATATTTACATAATTAGTATACATAAAAAAGAAAAGATAACTTCATGACAGAAATATTAGGATTCTGACTATGATAAGGAATGAAAACATTTTCTTTTGTAAAACACGAACTAAAAGAAAGTAGAACACCTGTGGACCTGGATATGGAATGGTTATCTAAGTTATTTGGCCTTAATGTGATCAATACTTTAACTGACTAAAATTAAATAACATTGTGTTAAAGTATGACCTTTTGCATGTCTATCTTGTCTTCCAGCAATTAATGGAAGCAATGGCAAGTTTGAATATATACTGTGAATACAAAGAACTTCATGAACTTCGTTCAAATACCGAGAACAATGGCTATGAAGTCTGCTTTAAATTCATTTTTTTGTTTGTTTGTTTTTCCATAGGATTTTAGCACCTAACACATGATTTCTAGAGATAGATCATTAAGGATCAATAACCAGAACAGCTCCATTTCGATCTCCCCATACCCTGATTTTTCTTTTTACAGTTAGACTTGTACACACATGAAGATGCTGAGTACCCCTTAGAGTACATCTATCCTGTTACATTGATTTTCTCTCATTTTCTGTTTTTCACCATGTCCTGGTTTCAGTTAGCACAGAATTAATTTTCTTCCTAGTAGCTGGTGGAATGCTGTGTTTTGGCTTAGGATGAGAAGAGTGCTGATAACACCCCGATGCTTTAATTGTTGCAGAGCAGTGCTTATACTAAGCCAAGGACATCTCAGCCTTTTGCTCTGTCCTGCCAACGGGCAGGCTGGGGGTGCAGTAAGAGCTGGGAGGGGACAGACCCAGGACAGGTGACCCAAACTAGCCAAAGGGGTATTCCATACCATCTGACGTCATGCTAAACAATATATAGGGGTGGCTAGCCGTGGGGAGGGGGCCGGACTGCTCGGGGTTAGGCTGGGCATCGGTCAGCGAGTGGTGAGCAATTGCATTGTGCATCACTTGTTTGTACATACTATTACTTTCGTATTATCACCATTGTATCATTATTATTATTATTGTTATTATTATTTTTGTTATTATTATTTTCCTGTCTTATTAAACTGTCTTTATCTCAACTCACGGGCTTCACTCTCCATTTCTCTCCCCCGTCCCAGAGAGGGAGGGGGGAGGGTGAGCGAACGGCTGCGTGGTGTTTAGCTGCCGGCCGGGTTAAACCACGACTCACTAACAATCCAAACCATAGTACTTTGTACCCAGGTTCTTCCCAGGAGCCATTTGAGCCTGGAAGCTTTGGTTCCTGCCACAAACATAGTTTGGTTACAAACTGTACTAGATCTGATTACTTATCTCCCCTCCCCCCCACTCCCCCCACCACCTCAAGGCTGCTGTGGGGTTGTATGTGTCAATAGGGTTGATTCCAGACCTCATCCACTTCTATTAGGTTTCTGGGCAATTTCCAGTTGCTCACACAGCATCACATGAAGAGCTGTTCTTGTAGTGCTCTACAGACACAAACTGTAAAGAAGCTGATTGTAAACCTAGGAATCCATATGTAAAGGTTTCCATAGATGCTTATGGCTCTGAGTCTGGACTTGGACAGCCTCTTCCTAATTTTCTGGATGCTTACTTCTTGTTCTTCCCATGCTCCAGTTTCTGTTTAGATTAAAGACTGCTGGCTCTAGGATAAACAGTGAGCAGATTGCATAGATGCTATTAGGGAAACAGCTGTCAAAAGAAGCCAGCACCACATATGCTGTTGTGAGAGGAAAACTGCTTTCAGAGTAGGAAAAACTGTATGTGAAGCTGGAGTAGGTTTACGTGGCAAGGTTTTGGTAGCAGGGAGCCATAGGGGTGGTTTCTGTGAGAAGGTTCTAGAAGCTGCCGTTTGGGAAGGGCCCCATTGTTTTCCAGAGCTGAGCCAAAAAGCGATGTTGTTTTGCGCTTCTGTGAGAGCATATTTAAGACAGGGAAAAAACGCTGCGCCACTCAGCAGCTGGGAGAGTGAGAGGAATGAGGAACAGCCTTGCAGGCACCAAGGTCAGTGAAGAAGGAGGGGGAGAGGTGCTCCAGGTGCTGGAGCAGAAGTCCCCTGTGGCCTGTGCTGAGGACCATGGTGAAGCAGGATGTCCCCCTGCAGCCCATGGAGTACCACAGTGGAGCAGGGTTCCATGCTGCAGCCTGTGGAGGAGACCACGGTGGAGCAGGTGGCCCTGCACCAACGGAGGCTGCCGCCTGTGGAAGACCCCTGCCGGAGCAGATTCTGGGCCGGACCTGTAGCCCATGGAGAGGAGACCACACAGGAGCAGGTGACCTGGCAGGAGCTGCTGCCCGTGGGGGACCCAGGTTGGAGCAGTTTTCTCCTGAGGGATGGACCCCGTGGTATGGACCCATATCTGGAGCAGTTCTGGAAGAGCTGCTGCCTGTGGGAAGCCCACACCGGATCAGTTCATCAAGGACTGTATCCCGTGGGTGGGACCCCACAGCACAGGGGACGAGAGTGACCGAGAAGGAGCAGCAGAGAAGAAGCGCTGTAGACTGACCATAACCCCCATTCCCCCGTTCCCCTGCACCGCTCTGGGGGGAGGAGGTGGGAGAGGGTGGATGGGGGGGAAGGTGCTTTTGGTTTCTTTCCTTTGTTTCTCACTTCTCTAGCTTGTTAGTAATAAGCAATAAATCTTACTATCTCCCTATGCTGAGTCTGTTTTGCCCATTACAATAATTACTGCGTGATCTTCTTGTCCTTATCTCAACCTTTGAGCCCTTTTCATCATATTTTCTTCCCGTTCCTCTTTGAGGAGGGGGAGTGAGAGAGCAGCTGTGGTGGAGCTCAGCTGCCCACTCGAGCGGAACCATGACAGAAGCAAGTTAAAAAAAAAAAAAAAGTCAGATTAAAATAAATGCTAGAAAAAAGAAAAAAAAAAAAAAAAAGATTTGATTCTTCTACTGAGATTCAGTTCTGTCACTCTGTCACTCTGATTTCAGGCTTTGTTCCCCAAAGTCCAGAAAAAAGGGGACAATGTGGACCCATTCACACTATTTAACTGGTGACAACATTACATCCTTGTGCACATCAAACAGCTTAAAGACACTCTTGGAGTGTCTTGTTCCCCTCTTCCAAGGGTAAAATGATTATTCACTATTAGGCTGTAATATAGACAGTAAAAGTCATAATACATTGCCCAGTCTAATATTCATTGCATTTGAGTAAAAGTTCAAGCACTCTTCCATTTCAGATCTGTCCTCCAAAACTGAGTGCCTAAATATTAGATATTTAGATCTACATTTATGTATTCAGATAAATGTTGACATTTTCAAAATTGTCAGCCAAACAACTTAGATCCTCAGAAAGTGAATTAGGCAGCTTCTTTTTGGCTACCAGTCTTTTTTTTTTTTTTTTTTTTTTTTTTTTTTTTTTCAGTAAGGAGCTTTAAAATTGGAATTCTTCCTGTTACTTATCTACAAAACAAGATGTTATCATAGAATATCAGAATAGCTCAGGTTGGGAGGGACCTCAAAGATCATCTAGTTCCAACCCCCGCTGCCATAGGGATGATGTAGTGGGATGCCACCCACTAAATCAGGTTGCTCTGGGCCTCATCTAACCTGGTCTTGAACATCTCCAGGGATGGGGCATCCACAACCTCTCTGGGCAACCAGTTCTAATGCCTTCTTCACCCTCTGAGTGAAGAATTTCCTCCTAATCTAAATCTCCCCTCTTTTAGTTTAAAACCATTCCTTCTTGTCCTGCAATTATCTGATTGAGTGGAGTTCTTCTCATTTTTTTTTTTATAAGTCCCCTGTAAGTACTGAAAGGCTGTAGTGAGGTCACTCCGGAGCCTTCTCTTCTGTAGGCTGAACATTCCCAGCTCTCTCAGCCTGTCTTCATAGGAGAGGTGCTTCATCACTCTGATCAACTTCATGGCATTTTACAAATGTCTTATACATTCCTATAGCTCATGTTTGTCAAAGTAAAAGTTCCAAAATTTTTATAGGACCATCAGTATTAAGGTAGAAAAATGAATAGTGTTTACCTTTTCCAATTTATTGTTGCTGAAAGGCCATGGCTGTTATTGAAAAGGTCTGTAAACATGACCTAATTTATTTGCTAGTAAGAATGGCTCACAAAGTTTAAGAATTATGTCACCAAGAATTTGTAAAATCCAACTTTAATTGGAATTAGAATCATGATGCAGACCCTAATTTGTTGGGTAAATAGATTAAAAACCACAAAACACTTTTTTTTTTTTTTTTTTTAATAGCCAAACTATTACTGTTTTCCTGTTAAGAAACGTCACTTTTTCTTGTATGTCATTCTTCTTAATCTTTAATTAGCAAAAACATATAACTGAGCTTCAACAATTATTGCCAGATTATTTACTGTTAATTACTAAATGGAAATAGCTCTCTGGAACCTCTATCAGATTTTATTCTGTGGTACATTTTTGTACCACAAATGTATACTGCAATACAAATGTATACTGCGATACATTTTTCTCATGAAGAAACAGCCAGCCAGGCTGATTAAGAATATATAAATAATTAAAAACATCATAGCTCTTGCTGTCATTTCAATGATAAATTCAATATATTGTTCCTATCAGAGCTTCAGTATTTGTTTCATTTCCCAAATCTGAATTATTTCATCATTCTGTACTTAAAAACAAACAAACAAACAAACAAAACAACAACAACAACAACAAAAAAAAAGGAAGATTCCATGAAGCTTAAGAAACTAAGACAATAAGAAATAGAGGCAATAATAATTTTTAGATAGACACCACTCACAGTAGATTACAGTACATTTGTAAACCCCAGGAAATGCATATTTAACTTATTTTAAAAGACATTATAAAGAATTTTGTTTAATGTGTCCTAGGTTAAAACATTATGTAGGAAAAAAAAAAAAAAGATAAGAACGTTGAAATAATATCATAAAATAAATTTATAATCTCAATACAGTTTAAATGCACCAGAAAAAAAAAAAAAATCGGATAATTGAAGTTATGATTGTAAGTAAAGAAGTAACCAAGGTTAAAAGAAATGACAGAAAAAAAAAAAAAAAAGGAAATGTTATTAATGAAATGAACTTTATTCATGCAGTGGTAAAATAACTAAAATATTTTTATTCTAATGAAGTGTATGCTAATCCTAGACAACACAAAAAACAGAGCCTGGAGTAATACAGAATGAGAAATACAATGCAGATATTTTAAAATAGAATAATTTAATAAAAACAAACAAACAACAACAAGAAATAAAATAAGAACTGTGACCAAAACAAACATATTGCTATGTATTGATGGCCCAAAGAGAATGAAAAGAGAAAGATTAACATGATGGGATAACCTTGCATTGGCTAAACAGATGTAATACAAATAAAATTATCTGTCATGGAGTCTGTTTTGAGCAAATTTACTTTGAGAATAGATGGTTCTATTTGTATAGTGGCATCATACAGTTCTTTAAGGTCATACTAACATAGATCACCACAGGAAAGTGAGGAAGTGAGGTTACCATTAACTAGAATCATATGAGGAAAGAAAAAGACTAATCATCATAGAGATTTTTTTCCCCTTAAAAAAAAACAATAAATAGCAGAGGGTAAGGGATTAGATCTAGAAAAATCAGTGAAAACATATCACAGAAATAAAATGAGAATATGGGAAGAAGCAAGACAGAATAAAGATAAAAACATGCGTGTTTGGCTCTAGCAT